AAAAAAAAAACGGGCACCATGGCTCACACCTCTTTGGGAGGCTGAGGCAGGTGGATTGCCTGAGCTCAGGAGTTTAAGACCAGCCTGGGCAACACAATGAAACCCTGTCTCTACTAAAATACAAAAAATTAGCCAGGCGTAGGCTGGGAGTGGCGGCTCACGCCTGTAATCCCAACACTTTGGGAGGCCAAAGTGGGTGGATTCCAAGGTCAGGAGTTCAAGACTGGCCTGGCCAAGATGGTGAAACCCCATCGCTACTAAAAATACAAAAATTAGCCGGGTGCAATGGCAGGTGCCTGTAATCCCAGTTACTCGGGAGGCTGAGGCAGGAGAATCACTTGAACCCGAGGATCGGAGGTTGCAGTGAGCCAAGATCACACCATTGCACTTCAGGCTGGGCAACGAGCAAAACTCCATTGCAAAAAATATATGTGTGTGTGTGTGTGTGTGTGTGTGTGTGTGTGTGTGTGTATTTGGGAGGAGTGCCAGGTGCGGTGTCTCATGCCTGTAATCCCAACACTTTGGAAGGCTGAGATGGGTGGATTGCTTCAGCTCAGGAGACCATGCCTGGAGAAACCCCATCCCTCCAAAAACTAGCCAGGTGTGGTAGCCCCTGCCTGTAGCTCCTGAGGTGGGAGAATCACTTGAGTACCAGTGGTGAGGCTGCAGTGAGCCATGACCACACCACTGCCCTCCAGCCTGGACATCAGAGTGAGATCCTGTTTCAAAAAAAAAAAAAAAAAAAGCCTTGAAAGAAGATCATTGCAACCAATGTATATTCAATAATGTGTTATTATAATAGATATGGTGAGAGTAAGCATAGACTTTAAATAATGTTTGCAGCCTAGCTAATTGTAATTAAAGACATATTAGCAGTAGTCAAATAGTGGCTAAGATGTGAAATGTAAAGCCCCACATTTGGGTTATTAAGCCTGTAATTCTGGAGGACTCTAGAATTAGCTGATCTGCTAGTCCACACTTCTATAATAGTTCCTTTGGATAGCAGACTGTTCTCCGGCTAACACTACAGACACTTACATTCCTCTTCTGCTTTGCCACCTCTTACATAGGAATAAGAAAAACTACTTGTTTTCACAACTGCACTTGTAGCTAGCTTTGTGCCTGCCACAGTTACGACCAATGAGATAAATGAAGTCTGTTGGTAGCTTCTGGGAAGTCTTTTCCTATAAGGCAAGCATCCTGCTGATACAGCCTTTCCCCCTTCCTCTCATTTTCATCTCAGATGATGTTCAGATGTTCAGAGCTCCTATGGCAACCATCTGCAAACCTCAGTGTGACAAGCCCGAGGGAAGGGTAAGAGAATCACAAAGACTCTGGCCACTTACCAAGTTGTAGGTTAAGTGTTAATTGTACCAAGATAAAAACATCTTATTTGCATTTTTGATTAAAGCTTCAGGAAAACAAAAACACTTCAAAAAAGGCTACTTTGTCTATGACAAATGTCTATGACATTTTGTTAGCAAAGACAACAGAAGAAAAAAGTGGTTTTCTTGAAAGCTAATGGGGAGAGAATATCTATTAGACATTTTCAAAGTCCCTTACTTCTGAGGTCCCTTTTGGCAA